GAGATCAGATTCTTTTGGCCAGCAGAGTCCATGGGGGCTGATGTCCTCTCTCATCCCCAGCTAAGGGCACAAAGCAGGTGCTTTGCCAATACAGAATGCCAGAGTCACGCTAGTAATGGGAAGCAGGGCAGACTGTGGAATCCATGTGGACAAAACATCGGGAAGAATCAGTTACTGTAAGGTAAGCAACCAGTCGTTCTCTGAATAATTCTCCACTCTTTGTGGAGAACAGTTGCCTGTTTGCTTGGAGGTGGATGCTAGATTAAACAATGACTGTAGGACATCCCTAGCAAAGTGGTCATCTGATCTGAAAGCGTCACACTGAGCAGAGCTCTTCATTGAGCGGTCTTACAATGATGCCCAGGTTTTTTTCTGAAGTTATTATAGTTAATTATAGACTTACACAGGCAGTCCCAGAGACTCTGCAGTATTCGAATCACGGAGCCTAATGGTAAATGACAAGAAGATGGGGCAGCAGGTCTGTAGAAATTTTGGTGGTGCCCAGAGGCTCCCTCCCCCCCCAAACTCCGCACCCACCTGCCTAAGGTTCTGGGAGGGAGTTTGGGTCTGGGGTGCAGGCCCTGGGCTGGGGCAGGGGATTGGGGGGCAGGAGGGATGCAGGGTACAGTCTCTGGGAGGGAGTTTAGGTGCAAAAGGGGTGAGAGGTTGGACTCTTGGAGGGAGTTTGGGTGGGGGAGGGAGTCTGGGGATGCAGGCTCTGGGATGGAGTTTGGGTGCTGGGTGCAGGCTCCGGGCTGGGGCAGGGGGTGGGGATGCAGGAAGGGGTGAGGGGTGCAGGCTCTGGGAGGGAGTTTGGGAATGGGAGGGGATGCGGAGGGAGGGGGTGCAGGCTCTGAGAGGAAGTTTGGAGACGGGAGGGGGTGTTGGAAAGGGGTGGGGGCTGCAGATTCTGAGAGGGGGATGTGGCGCTTACCTGGGGCTCCTAGGTGAGGCGGGCTGGGCCGGGGGGGGGGTGCCTCCGTGTGCTACTACCCTGAGGCACTGCCCCTGCAGCTTCCTATTGGCACAGGGAGCAGTGGCATGGACACAGACCCGGCCCAGGGGCTGTAGGGAGGGGCCGGCAGCCACGTGGAGCGAGCACGCAGGAAGCCGCTGAGCTCTGCTGTGCTGCCAGTGGTGGGTGGGGGCCCTGGGTTAAATGGCTCAGGGGACACGTGGAGGGGAGTGCCCGGGGGCGGAAGGCAGGGCGGAGGGAGAGACATTGCTGGAGCCGGGCCAGGAATATTCCTGGTGCCCAGGCACCACGGGCCTATAGAAGTCACCGCCCGTGCAAGAAGATTCCCATTGCCCCTCACATGAACTAGTCTGTGTAGTCTAGAGGTACCAGTAGACAAAGCAGGATCTTTCTCTTGGAAGAGACACTTGGGAAGCTGGATCAGTCAGAGATCTCAGCTTGGCAGCCCCATTATGCTCACTGCGGTTTGTCCTCTCCCTTCTGGGCAGCATAGTTTTGTGCTCAGACTTTGTTATTGTGACACGACACCCCCCCATATTCACACCCTACACATTACTGTCATAATCTTTGTACAAAATATGCCTTGTGAGGTGGTATTTGAAAATGAATAACTCACTAGTCATTACTATTCTTGTGTGATGTGTGTACGTGATAGGTACGAAGAGTTAAGGACATATGCTGGAATGATAACTCTGTTCAAACCAGGTGTGTCATGGGGAGTTGTTAAACTAGTCTGTCCTAAACACAGGAATATGTGTTTACCTCAGTTACATAAAGACAACGTGGCATCTACACCAGGCAGGAGAGGGAAGCTTGGTCTGTGTTTTACTTTTCAGAATCCATTTCACAGGTGGGCTGGTCTATAAAGCCGGGGGAGGGGGGCTGAACCTCAAGTGATAAGCAACTGAATCAACGGATTGTGTGCTGCATTACTGTATTATACACGTGTTTAGAGTGAGGCCTTCTCTGAAAGTTGAGACACTGGTGATTCATATAGTTCTGAAACGTACGGTATGTATTAACACTATAAGGCATTATAGATACTCAGTGATATTCGGCTGTGCTGTCTGCCCAGATAGGAGGGAATGTCACAGCTAACTACCTGTCTCCTATGCAAATTAAGCATGGTAGAATCAAACAATGGAAGCCCCATTTACGTAGAAATCATACAGGGGAATGGAAACCTCATAGGAAGGGGGGTGGGGGGAACTCTTTGGCATCTGTCACTAGACAGACACAAGAGGCCAGAGTTCCTGCAAGCTGAGGAAGATGGGCCCTTCAGTGTGGGGGGACCTGAATATAGGTGAGAAACCTGCTTAGGCAAAGGTCTTTCACCTAAGAAGACAAGGGAAGCCAGCACCTTGTGCTTTTGTGGATGGTCCTAGCTGAGGGAAAGCCAGCCATGGCTGGGAAGAAGGACTAGTTAGAGAAACCATCTTGAACAAGCTTGTATCTTGCTAGATTAAGTTTTAGACTTTTAATGTGTGTTTTTGCTTTTATTTGCTTGTAACCCTTTCTGACTTCATTCCTTTTACTGAGTGTCACTTAACCTCTGTCCTATTGTTAGTAAAATGAAAAATTCACTATAAGCCAGCTCAGTGCAGTGTTAAAAGGGGAGGGTATATTTACCAGTTAAGTTAATAAGCTGTGATGTGTTTTTGTGTCTTTAGAGGATCAAATGAACCTTACTGTTTCTCTGAGCTGTCCAGGAAAGGGCTGGCCATTTCAGGACACGAAGTTTGGGCAAGATTCTGCACTGGGAGTGAGTTGGGGTCACCCTGCTGGTTGTAACCAAGCTGGCGGAAGCCAGAGTGGGCAGTGGGCTGTAGACAGGCTGCTGGAGTCAGAGCTGCTGGCCCAGTGCTGTGCAGCGCGCACACACTAAGCGTGTGATCTGCATGCTGGTCGCTGGCTGTGAGAGGCCCAGGCTGGGAGCTACAGCCGCACAGTATTATAAGGCACCCATGGTTGCAGGGCAAGTGGTGGCACACCACCTCACTGGTCTGGATTGCATCCCAGAACCATAACCTCCTGTGACAGTCAGATGGACATAATGTCAGTCGAGGGCTTTCCAACAATCCGGAGGCCCCAGTGAAGGTTGCCTAAGGTGTGAAGTTATCTGTGTTGGTGGCAGAGCCAGCACAAGCGGAGAAAGAGCGTATCTCTGCACTAACTCAGGACTCTGCATTGCAACCGATACACAAATGCTGGGCTGGGCTAGGCTGTACACACGACCATCCTAGTGCTACAGGGCAGCGGTTAAGAAGGGGAAGAGCTTTGGTGTAAACGTCCTCAGACCAGGGCAATCAGACTGGTGCTCCTAGAGCTCTGCAAGACATACAGGGGAAAATGTGCTGATAGGCACTGCTATGTTGTGTGTGGTTATCTGAACACAATACTGCTCAAGGAAAGCACACTTCTGTTCAACTGGATGGAAAAAGAATCTGCTGTTGAGGAAAACCCTGTACAACACAAACCACCTAAACGGCCCGGTAGGCTGGCTTGCAGGTCAAAAGTATTCCATTAGATGTCTCTACAGGAGGAAACTTTTGACTTAACTGGCCAGCAGGGGACTCGTACCATGGACCTGTTCCCATCGAAAGGAAAGGCCATGTGCCAGTGGTACCACAGCTGGTGGTATTACTAGTTACAGGAACACCTAGCACTGTAGGCTCTTGCTCATAATGGGTTGCTAGTCTGTGGGAACTTCTGTCTGGTTTCTCCTGCTACCTTTTATGTGAAGGAACTAAAAAAGGCAGCTCTCCCCAGGGTCCTCTCTTCCTCACATCCCTGTATGGCAGTGAAAGACATAGCTCAGTGAGCTGAGATTGTCCAACACCCTCCCTCTACCTGCCTAGATATTCTTCAGAAAGGGCTAGTGGTACATCCAGACCTGGGAGCTCTAGGTGCCTCTGTATGTATGATCAGTAACAGAGCGGAGCACCTCTGACAGGATGACTCGGACAGTGCCTCAATCTCATAAGGAGAGTACCTTCTTTGCGTGCTACCAGGATGGTCCATCCCTGGCATGGTGTAGCGGTAGGGAGACCTCAGCTAGGAGAGCCAAAATTTCAGTGAGCATTTCTTACACGCACTGTTTACTGAGGGGTTGGCACCTAGTTCCATAAAAGTTCACACCTCTGCTCTTAGTCGCTTATGGGCCTAGTGTCCAAATTTCTTAGGATAGTCTCTTTCCTCCCTTCATTCCCACCATCAGGTTTCTGGTGGCCCTTTGCGGTTTTAACTTGGTATTCAAAAGCTAAGTGATCCCTCCTTCATACCCTTGTCCTGCTCTGACCTCCAGTTCCTCACACTTAAGGAGGTATTTCTGGTGAATAAGGGAACTAGCAGCCCCGCCCAGCTGATGTTCCACAGCAACAAGGTCATGCTCTGTTCTCCTCCTGGTTTTGTCCCTTCCACTCAAACCAAGGAATTTTCTCTCCCTTGTTCCTGTCCCCACACTAGGAAGGAGAGAATTTGGCATGTTCTCAACCTCAGGCGAGTCTGGAGAACATACCTACATGGGTCAGACTGTTTTAGGAAGGAAGATTTCCTCTGCGTTCTATTTGAGGGCTCTAGGGAAGGTCTGGAGAGCCCATCATATGCCATCACCAAATGGATCACAACCTGCATTAAAAGAGATACATAGGCCACATTTTCAAAATTGGGCACTGAGCCTGGTGCCTGACTTTCATCAGGACTGAACACCCATGGTTCCTATCAAAGTCCATGGAACTTCTAAAATCAGGCCCAACCTGGGCATCCAAAATGTTGGCCCCATAAATCACTAGCCACTTAAGAAAATTGTGCTTTAGTGATTTCCTCAGGGTGTCCCAAGAAGTCCGTGGCAGAGACAAGAATACAATGCAGAGTTCCTGGTTCCATGCCTTGTTCTGTATCCCCTTAGACTCCAGTCACATCTATTAGAACTACTGTAGCTACATTTATATAGTCAGAATACTCAGGCGTCACTGTCCTGAAGACTAAAAGCAACAACATAGGATATGGAAAAAAAAATACTCACAAAGCCCAGTCAACTGCAATGATCAGTGTGATGTCATCCGTGGGCAGGCCAACAGAGGTTAGTACAATGACCATTGTAACGAGTCCTGATTGGGGGATTCCCGCTGCACCAATGCTTGCTGCTGTCGCTGTTATGCTGCAGAAATAGAAAGGCCACAGAACCTTTGGCACTTGGAAGGCTCTTAATGGTTTTGACTGTATGGCAAATTAAACGTCAACTCTTCCAATGAAAGATCGGTGCATTCATCACCTAGCCTCACCCCCTCCTGGGCTTTCACATCGCCCTGGCGAGCGCTGTTGGCTAGCTGGGGAACACTCACTCATAAGCCCCTCGGTATTAAGCCTCAGTGTGCCCCCCAATTTATCTGCCTGTCTTAACCAGTGAGCCACCATTGTAGATTACAGAAATATTTCAACATAAGTCTGATGTTTCTGTGCACCTAGTGGCTTGTTCCGACCCCTGCAAACTTTCCATATAGCAAAGGTTCCTTGAAAATGTATGTGCAGGCTAGATTTGAAGAAGATTGCTTGTAATTAAGTAAGGTTTTAATACAGATTTTTGTGTCGGATAGCTTTAGGCCCTGTCCTGCTTCCACTGAAGTCAACAGGAATTTCTTGCTAATGACTTCAGTGGCAGTGAGAAAACGAGAGAGAGAGAGTGTGTCCATCTGTCCATCCATAGGTGACCGCAAACAACACTTTAGCTTCAGCTGAAGCAGCAGAAGCCTGCATTTGTGGAGCAGAAGGATATGTAATTATGGAGAGGTGACAGCCTCTGTACAGCTAAGGTTACAACCATGGTCTCATTATAAGGCTGATTGCGAATCCCCTTTGTCGATAAAAGAGAAGCCTCTTCTCTTGCTGTCATGTTTCTCAGGTTGTCCGTTGCTAGCTAGAATGAGTTCTGAAATCTTTTCCAGAAGAGTCTAACCTCACTTACTGTACTGCTGGGGCAGTGAATGAGGCAGGTATGGAGTGAATGAGTTCGGTGTGTCTTTCACAGCAGTAGCAGGGTGGCTGTAGCAAATGTAGGGTTACCATATTCAAACATTTAAAAAAGAGGACACTCCACGGGGCCCCTTCCCCGCACCCGGCCCCACCCCAACCCCACTCCTTCTCCGCCCCCATTCCAACCCCTTCCCCAAAGTCCCTGCTCCAACTCTGCCCCCTCCTCTGAGCACCCCGCATTCCCCCTCCTCCCTCCCGCTCTGATCTTGGTTGGGGGTTGATAAGTGCTTCCCTGCTCCCCACTCGCCCCACAGCCCCTGCAGCCTCTATGCCCTTGCCTGCCCTGCTCCTCCTCACCCTGCAGCCTCTGCACCCCCCCGCCCCTGCAGCCTCTGTGCCCCCTTGCTCCCCACTTGCCCTGCAGCCTCTCTGCCCCCTGCTCCCCACTCGCCCTCATAGACTCATAGACTTTAAGGTCAGAAGGGACCATTATGATCATCTAGTCTGACCTCCCGCATGATGCAGGCCACAAAGCCGTCCCAACCCCTTTCCCTTGACTCTGCTGTTGAAGTCCCCAAGTCCTGTGGTTTAGAGACTTCAAGTCGCAGAGAATCCTCCAGCTAGCGACCCCTGCCCCATGCTGCGGAGGAAGGCGAAAAACCTCCAGAGCCTCTGCCAATCTACCCTGGAGGAAAATTCCTTCCCGACCCCAAATATGGCGATCAGTAGAACCCCAAGCATGCTGGCAAGATTCTCCAGCCAGACCCTCATTGGCCATTGATACTACTTACCAGCGATGGCACACTGTTCATTTGACTAAAATCACGTTATCCCATTAAACCATTCCCTCCATAAACTTATCTAGCTTAATCTTAAAGCCAGACAGGTCCTTCGCCCCCACTGTTTCCCTTGGAAGGCTGTTCCAAAATTTCACCCCTCTGACGGTTAGAAACCTTCGTCTAATTTCAAGCCTAAACTTCCCCACGGCCAGTTTATATCCATTCGTTCTCGTGTCCGCATTAGTACTGAGCTGAAATAATTCCTCTCCCTCCCTGGTATTTATTCCTCTGATATATTTAAAGAGAGCAATCATATCCCCCCTCAGCCTTCTTTTGGTTAGGCTAAACAACCCGAGCTCCTCGAGTCTCCTTTCATACGACAGGTTTTCCATTCCTCTGATCATCCTAGTGGCCCTTCTCTGTACCCGTTCCAGTTTGAGTTTATCTTTTTTAAACATGGGAGACCAGAACTGCACACACTACTCCAAATGAGGTCTCACCAGTGCCTTGTACAACGGAAGCAGCACCTCCTTATCCCTACTAGATATACCTCACCTAATGCATCCCAAGACCGCATTGGTTTTTTTCACCGCCACGTCACATTGTCGACTCATAGTCATCCTGCGGTCTACCAGGACTCCGAGGTCTTTCTCCTCCTCCGTTACTTCCAACCGATGCGTCCCCAGCTTGTAACTAAAATTCTTGTTAGTCATCCCTAAATGCATCACCTTACACTTTTCACTATTAAATTTCATCCTATTTCTATTACTCCAATTTACAAGGTCATTCAAGTCTCCCTGCAGAATATCCCGATCCTCCTCCGAATTGGCAATACCTCCCAACTTTGTGTCATCCGCAAACTTTATCAGCCCACTCCTACAATTGGTTCCGAGGTCAGTAATAAATAGATTAAATAAAATGGGACCCAAAACCGAACCTTGAGGAACTCCACTGGTGACCTCTCTCCAACCTGACAGTTCACCTTTTAGTACGACCCTCTGCAGTCTCCCCATTAACCAGTTCCTTATCCATCTCTGGATTTTTATATCGATCCCCATCTTTTCCAATTTAACCAATAATTGCTCGTGCGGTACAGTATCAAACGCTTTACTGAAATCGAGGTATATTAGGTCCACCGCATTTCCCTTATCTAATAAGTCTGTTACTTTCTCAAAAAAGGAGATCAGATTGGTTTGGCATGATCTGCCTTTGGTAAAACCATGTTGAAATTTGTCGCAATTGCCATTGACCTCAAGGTCCTTAACTACTTTCTCCAGGACGTTGCACACTACAGATGTTAAACTGACAGGCCTGTAGTTACCCGGGTCACTTTTTTTCCCTTTCTTGAAAATAGGAACCACATTAGTTTAAACCGAATTAGCTCATGATCACTCGAGCCAAGGTTGTCCCCTACAACCATTTCCTCAACGAGGTCCTCACTACTCACCAAAACCAAATCCAAAATGGCCTCCCCCTTCATTGGTTCAGCTACTACTTGATGAAGGAATTGATCAGCTAGCACGTCTAGGAGCATCTGAGCTCTATTATTGCTACTAGCCCTGCAGCCTCTGCACCCCCCCACCCCTGCAGCCTCTGTGCCCCCTGCTCCCCACTCGCCCTGCAGCCTCTGCACCCCACCGCCCCTGCAGCCTCCTACACCCCCCTGCCACCTGCCCTGCTCCCCCGGCTCACCAGGCAGAGGGAGAGCTGCGAGCTCCACCTGAAATCAAACACTGCCAGCTGCTCTGTGGGGGAGGAGGGAGCAGGGGAGGGGGAGGGACTCTGGCTGCTAGAGGCCCTAGTAGCTGCGAGCGGCTTTCAATCAGGCCAGGCGTCCAATCAGCTGCACCGCACTCCGCAGGAGGGGAAGGGGGAAATCCCGGACATTTCTTCTTGATTAGAAATCCCCCCCGGACGGCCATTTAACACTGAAAAAGCTGGACATGTCTGGGGAAACCTGGACGGATGGTAACCCTAAGCAAATGTGGCAACATTCTGCGCGTGGAAGAAGGATGTTCTTGTGGGCGGAGACACAAGAGAACTGAGTTCTAGCCCTTGCTCTGCCACAAACAGCCTGAAGGACGTTGGCCAAAAATTTTCAAAGAAGGTTCTAATTTTGTGTTCCCCAGTTTCTGAGGGCCCAGCTTCAGACTCCTGGTGTCTCAACAGGGCCACTGCACTCAGAATTAGTGGACGCTTTTGAAAAAATGTAGCCTAGGTCTGTGTTTCAGTTCCCTCTCTGTAAATAAGATAATAGCTCCTGTGACAGGGTCGGGCCAGATGGCTACAGGAGAGTGATGGAAGGCAGATATATAAGCCACAGATTAAGCAGGTCCCTTTTCCCTGGGTAAGGTAATAGGGGAGGTTCCAGAACAATCAGGAACTTGCTGGAACCAATTAAGGCAGGCAGGCTAATTAGGACACCTGGAGCCAATTAAGAAGCTGCTAGAATCCATTAAGACAGGCAGGCTAATCAGGACACCTGGTTTAAAAAGGACCTCACTACAGTCAGTGAGGGGCGTGCGAGGTGCTGAGAGTAAGTAGGCGTACTGCTGGAGGACTGAGAAGTACAAGCATTATGAGACATCAGGAGGAAGGTCCGGTGGTGAAGACAAAGAAGGTGTTGGGAGGAGGCCATGGGGAAGTTGCCCAGGGAGTTGTAGCTGTCACACAGCTGTTACAGGAGACACTAAAGACAGCTGCAATCCACAGGGCCCTGGGCTGGAACCCGGAGGAGAGGGCGGGTCTGGGTTCCCCCCATCTCCCCAACTCCCTATTTGATATAAGAGGAGTTGATCTGGACTGTGGGTCCCACCCGAGGGGAAGGTCTCTGGCCTGGCCCCCGACCCATTAGGTGGGCCAGCAGAGACTGCGGGGGATTGTTCTCCTTTTCCCCATGCTGGCCAGTGATGAGGTTAGCCGAGTGAACGGCAGGTTTGTGCCACTAACAAAAGGATCCAAACTGAGGACTGCCGAAAACATCTGAGGCGAGCAAATCCACCCGAAAGTGCAGAACCCACCAAGGCAGAGGAGGGACTTTGTCACACTCCACAGGGTTGTTAAAATGAATTTGTGAATGTTTGTGAGGTGCTCAGATACTTCAGTGTTGAGCCATAGGTAGGCCTCAAAAGAAAGGACAAAATTTGGTTCTATGCAATTTGGCTGTTGTGTAATGCTTCTGGTCTCTGTATGCTTTTTACCTTAAGAATAAAGTAGGCTTCCATAGAAAGAACGGTGTGGTGCTTAAACTGGAGCAATTACACCAGTTAGCTGTCTCTGAAGAGAAAAGCAAGCAGGTGTCCTTGAGCGACCTGTCTGTGCTGGGAAATACACAGTAAAGGCAGGGAACTGTGCAGCCTGGAAATACCCTGGCCAGAAAGGAGAGACGCAGGTCTCTTCTTTTCCCCCCACTCCCCACCCCAAAGCGAGGCAACAGCTGGGGAGTTGAAAGCCTGAGGGTGGGTGCCCTGGGCTGGACCATGGAGTGGGAATCAAGGTGCAGTTGCCCTGACCTGTGACAGTGAAATGGGATTGAGTGAGGGCAAGTAGAAATATCGCACAGCAGCCTCATTCCCTGAGCACTATTTGTCCTACACACTGAATGAGGCAGGGTCCTGCAGAAGAATAGTAAATGAGCATTAATTAAAGACTCATCACTAACACACACACACAAGGGGCAGAGCTAAGGTTGCACAGAGGTTATTATTAACTGAAATATAACGACTAATCCAGTCAGCACAGGGTTCCTTATGTTTCTCTCACTATAAATTCAGTTTATTTTACTCAGCCCTGAACTGTCCCGATGTAAACATGGTACAGAATTTTGTATTGGCAATTCACACCTGTACTGTGTACATTTTCAGAGGAGAACTGCAGGTTTTGGCAGCTAGATAGGGACTCTTTGGGGCTTTTAACCGCTGGCAAAACATGAAAGCATGATTTGAGATTATAGGATAAGCACAATGACCGTATGTGTTTCTGCTAAATTGATCAGCAGTGAAATAGTTAATGATAATACTTAAAAACAATCATCAGCTCCATTGAGATGGATGGGGTAGTTCACGTCATTCTCCAGGGAATTGTCAGGCTGTCTGCAGACTGCCCAGATAGCTCTGTGTCACTTTAGGAGTTTTTTGAATGAAAACATAGGCCTGGTCTACACACACAAGTGGTTCTGTGTAACTGTCTTGGTTAGGGTGTGATTTTTTTAAAAACTGAAATAGTTCTACTTGTACAGCCCCCAACATGGACACAGTGATACTGGTGCAGAGGTGCCGTTTACCAGCCTGGCTTATTCCCCTCCCTGAATGGGAACAGGCTGTACCAGTAGAAGCACTTCTCTACCAATATAACTGCACCCAGGTTAGGGGAATTGTACTGCTTTACGCCTGATCTATATTTAACATTTAGGTTGACATAACTATGGTGTTCAGGGGTGTGAAAACACAGCTATGCCAACAAAACCCCTAGTATAGACACAGCTTCCTCGCACAGCGTTTGTACACCAAGAGAGAAACTCCTGTCGGTGCAGGCTGCATCCACGGGGGGCGCTATGCTGCTCTAGGATCTGTAGTGTTGACATGCCCTTTGGGCTGGTCCACACTAACCCCCCACTTCGAACTAAGATACGCAACTTCAGCTACGTTATTCACGTAGCTGAAGTCGAAGTACCTGAGTTCGAACTTACTGCGGGTCCACACGTGGCAGGCAGGCTCCCCCATCGACTCCGCGTACTCCTCTCGCGGAGCAGGAGTACCGGCGTTGACGGCGAGCACTTCTGGGATCGATTTATCGCGTCTAGACAAGACGATCCCAGAAGCTCGATTGCTTACCGCCGGACCCGGAGGTAAGTATAGACGTACCCTTAGAGTATTCAGAATGGCAGGTTTCAGAGTAGCAGCCGTGTTACTCTGTATCCACAAAAAGAACAGGAGTCCTTGTGGCACCTTAGAGACTAACAAATTAACTAACAGCTTATGCTCTAATAAATTTGTTAGTCTCTAAGGTGCCACAAGTACTCCTGTTCTTTTTTCAGAACGGCAGAGGCACTGCAACAGGTAAAGAAGTAGTCAGACACTTCTATGCTTATGATATGCTACTGTCCAACCACGGCTACCTTAAACATGTAATAGAATGACCAACGCTGAGTGGGAAATTTGGTAGCTGTTATGATACATTGTCCTTAGATCTGGATAGGGAAGAAAGAGAACAGATTTAGTGTAAATAAGGGAAGAAATGTATTTACCTTATAGTTATAATTTGTCCCAAGTCCAAATCGTACTCGTTGACCTGAGCAATAAAGATTGCAGCGACTGCCTCGTACAGCGCAGTCCCATCCATGTTAATGGTTGCGCCAACAGGGAGAACAAATCGTGCCACCCGTCTGTCTATCCCATTGTTTTCCAGAAGACATTTCAGGGTGATGGGCAGGGTTGCTGAGCTGCATTGCAAAGAAATAACAATCTCCATTGCCGTCGGTGTCATCGAGGCAGTTAATAAGAAGGCTGCTGGAGGCACAGGGTCACCAGATCTGCTCATAAAGCCAAGTGAAAATTCTGTACATCAGCTGCCACCTCCCTCTTAAACAATGGTGGAAGGAAAGTGTCTGAACTCTCTGTTTCAATTGGGGTGAACAGTCAGTTGGCAAAGTTTGCAGACAGCACAAAAGCTGACTGCGAAGAGTTACAAAGGGATCTTGCCAAACCAGGTGCCTGGACAACAAAATGGCAGATGGAATTCAATGTTGATAAGTGCAAAGTAATGCACATTGAAAACATAATCCCAACTAGACACATAAAATGATGGGGTCTAAATTAGCTGTTACCCCTCAAGGAAGAGATCTTAGTTCTCTGAAAACATCCACTCAATGTGCAGCAGCAGTCAAAAAAGCGAACCATGTTAGAAATCATTAGGAAAGGGATAGATAATGTTGTGGTTCTATGGTGGTTCTAAAAATCCTTAGAACTGACTGAACGTGCAGAAAGAGCCAGGCTTCATTTTAATTTCTTACCACGCTGAGTTATTCTCCCCCACACTGCTCAAACCTGGCAGCGGCTCTCGTTTTCATTGAGAACTAGGCCCAAGCCACATCTCAAGTTTCAAACTTCACCTGTTTTTTTGCTGTAGCTTCATTCAAAAGACTGGTTTTGGTGGTGGGGGTGGGGGCGGGTTAAACAATGGGGAAGTAGCTTAACACTCCCATAGTTCAAATAGCTGAAAGGAGTTTGCTAAAGTATTTCCCTTGCAAGAATAGCACACGAGGGACCTGTGATTAGTACATTACTCAGGAAACCTTGTGCTAAACCAAGGGTGAAAACATTTATACACAGCCTAGACTTGAATAATGAAACCAGCTTCCCTCTCAGCTGGAATAATGGACTGTCTGTGACAAACGAGACCACTTTGTCATACCTGGATGATGTCGCGAGGGCGATCAGCAGGGCTTGCAGTATTCCCCGGATGAAAGCAAAGGGGTTTTTCCTGGTAATGAGTGCAAAAAGCAAAGGCAAGAGAATAAGTCCATGGATGACTAGCCCTGTCACCACTGTTATGGCGTAGAGTCCCAATTTCTTTCCAATCACAGCTGGATCCTCCATTTCCAAAATCTTCCCAGCAATGAGAAACACAATGCCAAATGGGAAGTACCTGCAATAAGAACAGTAAAAAATCGTTCATTGGGATAGGAACATGGCAAATGTCATAACAGAAAAGACCCATCCTGTCCTGCTAGAGTAGTGGAGGGCAACCTGCGGCCCATCAGGGTAATCGCTGGTAGGCTGCTGGACAGTTTGTTTACATTTGCACGGCCACCTGCATGCCAGTGGCTGTGGTTCACCATTCCTGGCCAATGGGAGCTGCGGGAAGCGGTGTGGGCCACAGGGACATGCTGGCCGCCACTTCCCACAGCTCCCATTGGCCAGGAACGGCGAACCGCGGCCACTGGGTGAGCAAATGTAAACAAATTGTCTGGCGGCCTGCCAGTGATTACCCTGACAGGCCGCATGTGGCCTGTGGGCCGCAGGTTGCCCACCACTGTGCTAGAGTGTCTCCAGGTGTGGCCAAATGCTGTATAAACCAGAAGAAGGTATAAAATTCCACATTAGCAATCCAACCGACTGCACAATGTTATGCCATGTGGTGAGACGGGACATTAGATGAGGAGGGCTCCGAGCTACTACAGAAAATTATTTCCCAGGTGTCTGGCTGGTGGGTCTTGCCCATATGCTAAGGGTCTAACTGATCCCCATATTTGGGGTCATGATGGGAGGGAAAATTTCTTCAGATTGGCAGAAACCCTGGGGATTTTTCACCTTCTTCTGCAGAATGGGGCATGGGTCACTTCCAGGTTAAAACTAGTATAAAGGGTGGATTCTCTGTAACTTGACGTCTTTAAATCATGCTTTGAGGACTTCAGTATCAGCCAGAGGTTAGGGGTCTATTTCAGGAGTGGGTGGATGAGGTTCTGTGGCCTGTGATATGCAGGAGGTCAGACTAGATGATCACAATGGTCCCTTCTGACCTTAAAGTCTATGAGAGCGCCTCTTGACCCAAGCTCATTATCCATTTATATCCTGAAGTGTGAGAATTAATTCTTATTTTTTCCTAGCTAATGTAACTGTGAGGCTCTTCTTACTACAGAGAACCAGTAGCCTCAACTCTTTAGTGAAGCTTGAAACAAATCTTCTATTGCTGCAAGCCAGATTTCGATCTCCTTTTTCTCTCTCCACCCAACTTTACCAAACTGAAACGAGTCCCTTGAAACTTCCTGGGGTGATATTTTACCAGGGTAGAGTTTTTCAGAAGAGTTTGAGGCGAAGTGGACAAGGCATTTGGGAGCTGTGGGTTTAAAATATGATATTCCAAAGAGTCTGGACAACATTCCAAAAACGACGAGTGGCAAATGCTACAACTTGTGCAGACTAGTTTGGGGTTTTGGAATAGTTTTATAAGGGCTAATGGGAGAATTAGTTATTCAATGTCCTTTCATATATTTATGAAGTTTCACAGCCTTTTAAACACTGCATGTCAGCAACTGCATGCTTTAGAAAGCATACATCTGCCCAATACAATTGTTCTAAAACAAGTCCAGTGCTCAAGAGAGAGTTTATAAAGCTATATATCTATATAACATAAACACACAAACCCCTATGTTCAAAGACCATTAAGATTATGGAGGCTACATTTACACTACAGCCGGGATCGACGCTCTGAGATCGATGCACCAGTGATTGATTTAGCGGGTCTACTGAAGACCCGCCAAATCAACAACAGATCGCCCCCGAAGAGAAGAGTAAGGTAAGTCGACGGTAAGTTGACCCCCCGCGGTGTAGACCCTGCAGTAACTTGATCTAAGGTACGTCAACTCCAGCTACGCGAACATAGCTGGAGTTGCGTAGTGTAGGTCGACTTACTGCGGCAGTGTAGACATAGCCAATGGCAAGCACTCAAAAGTTAAGGTAATACCAGAATTAAGGTTGTCTGTGCAACTTTAATTTGGCCCCCTTTGTGCATATGCACTATTGAGCACTCTTTGATTACATGACTGTATACTACTTCCCCTCCCCGCCTCCGCTCCCTGCCTCATTCAGCGCATAGGGTAGACATTCTGGTTTGCTGAATTCTAGTGCAAGAAGCCACATCAAGGTTTCATCTGAGAGTTTTCTAACCACAGTTAATGCAAACCAGTAACATAGGCCATATCTGTACTCTAGTCCAGGGGTAGGCAACCTATGGCATGCGTGCCGAAGGCGGCAGGCGAGGTGATTTTCAGTGGCACTAACACTGACCGGGTCCTGGCCACCAGTCTGGGGGGCTCTGCATTTTAATTTAATTTTAAATGAAGCTTTTTAAACATTTTAAAAACCTTATTTACTTTACATACAACAGTAGTTTAGTTATATATTATAGACGTATAGAAAGAAACCTTCTAAAAATGTTAAAATGTATGACTGGCACATGAAACCTTAAATCAGAGTGAATACATGAAGACTCGGCCCAGCACTTCTGAAAGGCTGCCGACCCCTGCTCTAGTCACAGGGTGTGATTGCTTTGAGCTAGCTAACTCACAGACTGGTAGCAGGGAAGTGGACTAGCCCCCCGACTACTTATCCAGGATTCGGGGTGGCTTGTACAGCCCACATTGAAGCAAACACTTGCTGCAGCTTGGCTGCTACCAGCACTCGAGTGATCTAGATTAAAGCTATCTCAGATATGTCTACATGAACTGCCATTGCACCCCCAATAGGAATCAGAATGACTGTACAATGAGAATGATTAAGTCTCAGACGTAAAGGTATGAACAGGCACATTTGCTGAGAATTTCCAAATGTTTTGCTTTTATGTTGACTGCAGAAGAGGGAATATTTTAACATCCTGAACTTACAGTTCCCGAACTTTTCTTTTTTGTAGCAATATAACTGAAACTGGGCTTAACTGTGAGATATGAAAACATCCAAAGCGAGTCAATCAGGATTATTTACTTACCAAACTGCCATTGAGACAATCTTCATAACTGCTTCATTCAGACACTGGCACACGTTGACTAAAGGAGTTCCACGCTCACCCATTTTCCCTAGAAGGAGGCCTGCAACCAGACACGTTAACTTGAATTATTAAACAGCATTGATACGGAACATAGAATCATAGGACTGGAAGGGACCTCGAGAGGTCATCTAATCCAGTCCCCTGCAATTATGGCAGGACTAATGTCCAATCTAAACCTCTGTTACTGCAATTTAAGTCCATTGCTTTTTGTCCTATTCTCAGAGGTTAAGAACAACAATTTTTCTCCCTCCTCGATGTAACAATCTTTTATGTACTTGAAAACTGTTATATCCCCTCTCTTCGTCTTCTCTTTTCCAGACTAAGCAAACCCAATTTTTTTCAATCTTCCCTCATAAGTCATGTTTTCTAGACCTTTAATCATTTTGGTTGCTTTTCTTTGGACTTTCTCCAATTTCTCCACATCTTTCCTGAAATGTGGCACCCAGACCTGGACACAATACTAATCAGCATGGAGTAGAGCGGAAGAATTACTTCTCGTGTCTTGCTTACAATACTCCTGCTAATAAATCCCAGAACGATGTTCCCTTTTTTTGCAACAGTGTTACACTGTTGACTCATATTTAGCTTGTGGTCCACTCTGACCCCCAGATCTCTTTCCACAGTACTCCTTCCTAGGCAGTCATTTCCCATTTTGTATTTGTGCAACTGATTGTTCCTTCCTAAGTGTAGTACTTTGCATTTATTCTTATAGAATTTCATCCTATTTACTTTAGACCATTTCTCCAGTTTGTCTAGGTCATTTTGAATTATAATCCTATCCTCCAAAGCACTTGCAACCCCTCCCAGCTTGGTATCATTCACAAACTTTATAAGTGTACTCTCTGTATGCCATTATCTAAATCATTGATGAAGATATTGAGCAGAACCGACCCAGAACTTATCCCTGTGGGACCCCACTCATTATACCCTTCCAGCATGACTGTGAACCACTGATAACTACTGTCTGGGAACAGTTTTCCAACCAGTTATGCAGTCACCTTATAGTAGCTCCATCTAGGTTGCATTTCCCTAGTTTGTTTCTGAGAAGCTCATGCAAGACAGTATCAAAAGCTTTACTGAAGTCAAGATATACCATGTCTACTGCTTTCCCCCCTATCCACATGGCTTGTTACTCTGTCAAAGAAAGCTATCAGGTTGGTTTGACACGATTTGTTCTTGACAAATCCATGCTGACTGTTACTTATCACCTTATTATCTTCTAGATGTTTGCAAAATGATTGCTTAATTATTTGCTCCATTATCTTTCCGGGTACAGAAGTTAAGCTGACTGGTCTGTAATTCCCTGGGTTGTCCTTAGTTTCCTTTTTATAGACTGGCACTATATTTGCCCCTTTCCAGTCCTCTGGAATCTCTCCCGTCTTCCATGACTTTACAAAAATAATCGCTAATGGCTTAGATATCTTCTTGGTTAGCTCCTTGAGTTATTCTAGGATGTATTTCATTAGGCCCTGGTGACTTGAAGACATCTAACTTGGTTAAGTAATTTTTAACTTGTTCTTTTAACATGCAGAGACCTTCAGTTGATGGTGGCTGCAATATAGGAACAATTGACAAACTCCCAAAAGAGCAAATTTCTAGTCTAGATAAACATCCATGCAATTTATATTATTATTTATTATTCATGTTTATTACAGTTGGATCTACAGACCAACCAAGAACAGGGTCCCAGTGTGCTAAGTACTACTACACAGATACAGAGTCATGGACAGTTCCCTACATCAAAGAGCTGGCAATCCAAGGCTATGTCTTTACTGCAAAGTTAGCTCGAGTATTTTCTACACTCAAGTTACCTCCTCTCCAGTTAGCCTCACTCAAGGGAGAGTGGCCACACTGCAAAATAACACTCAAGCTGCACAGAGTGATTGGATCAGCAGCACAGAGTAGCTGCATCCCCACTGCATTATTTGCTCCAGCATCGGCAGCACTAAAGTGTCATTCTCCTACCACTTCTCCTGAGCTACAAACTTCTGGGAGTCAGTTTAGGAACAACACTTGAGTTATACCTTGAGCTACTACTGCAGTGAAGACAAACCCAAATTAGAAAGTCAGACCCTGGGCAGGGGAGAGGGATATAACAAGCTTTGGACATCTGTGAAATTTATCTGAACTTATTTAGCTCCCTATTCTCTCCCCACCCTTCCTGAAGTCATGTGATCGTTCCCTAACAACCTGGGCTTATGATAGACTCATAGACTTTAAGGTCAGAAGGGACCATTGTGATCATCTAGTCTGACCTCCTTGTACATTGCAAGCCACAGAATCTCACCCACCCACTCCTGTGATAGATCTCTAACCTCTGGCTGAGTTACTGAAGTCCTCAAAGCACAGTTTAAAGACTTCAAGTTACAGAGATGTCTATGATCTGGCCCCTTCTTTTGGGCAGGGAGCTGGTAGGCCTATTTCACCACCACCAGTCAGTAACTTCTAGAGGCAGGTGGACTGTCTTTCCTGTTCCTATTTGGTAATAACAGAATAATCCATTTCCTGGGGCTCTGACCCTCCAAAAGTTAGTTTTGTGGGATTAATACAGCCCATAATGCAACAGGCTAAACTATCCCTCTTCTTGAATGAAAGGGATTGCACCTCATTTCTACTCTAGTACTGTATTTACCTAATAGCATGTGACATTGCCTATTCTTGTTTGATTCCATAATGACAAACCCTATTGTGTTGGTCATACTCAGGAGTCAAGATTGCTGGGGAAGCCATAACTCTCAATTTCTTGGCTTTTAACAAAATAAAAGTTCTTCAAGTATCTACCACCATGGTTCCCATGGCGCGTGAGATCAGATTTACTGGGAAGCAGTGTCTGATAGGGCCACCCTGCACCCTTGCTGTCCTTGTGTCCCTCCATCCCCATGCAGAGTAGGGCCATCTGACTTTCAGTTCCTTCTTACTGCCTGCATGTGAGACAGAATGCCTGCAGTGCCTGCCTGCTTCTCGGTGAGCCTACTGCAGTTAGTTGCTGGTGATTGGTTAGTGCAGTTATTAGGTAATTAGCCCTTTTTATTTACCCATTGGCTTTACCAATGTTTTAAAAAAAAATCCTAGGTAGCTAGATGGCTTGGAGCCCCCTTGAAGTTGAGCTGTTACAGCAGAAGCTAAATCCCCCGGTTTAAGCCATGCCCCTCCTTTGATGCGTCTATGCCACTCAATGATGGGCATGCTTAAGTGCTTTTCTTGTTTTGGCAAAGGGCATATCCCTGGCTGTTGCTCCCTGGGCTTTTTTCCAAGCGACACAGCAGGATCGGGGTGCCTGCCTAAAGTTTTCTGGAATGCTCTGTGAAGGCTCCTCACGCACGATGAACAACGATATAGCTAAGACTCAAGCCTCCATCCAGTCCCTCTCAGCTAGCACCCCGGTGAGAGTCCACCCTGAGCACCAAGGCTGAGACACCCAAAAGACCCCAGGTATCAAGTATGATGCATGTGCCAATTGTCTCAAGAAGGGGTAGGAATGAGCATCACTCCAGAGATGAGAGAGAGATTTCCAGGGCCTTCAGAATCAAGACAGAAGAGTCAAAATGTGTTAGACTCATCTCAAGCTCTGCAGCTGAGGGGCAGCTAATGAGCTAAGATCACTTTGGTGCCCTGATACCAATATGAACAGAGTGCCTGTGGTACCAGCTAAATCCACTGAGCACCTTTCCTCTGGCTTTCTGGGTACCCAGCCCATCAATACCGTCCTTCTTGGCATCTATGGCCTGTTCAGCACGGCGTGACCTGTCTGTGGGCCTAGTACTGCAGTCACACTTGCTGGCTTATATGACATCGGGGTGCTAACTAGACCTTTGGCCACCAAATCCATGGCAACACATGTAGCAACTGGGCCATCGGGACTGTCTACCCCCCATCCCAGGTAGAAAGGTTGCAGAAGCACCTTAGTACACCAGGAAGGGTAGCACTACGCTGGCAGAGGTGTAGTCCTTTGTCTTCTCTATCGGGACATAGTAAAGACTCATCAACTCATCCCCCTTCCCCTCCACGGGCACCACGCTGGGAGTCAGGGAGGGCAATGGGTAGGACTGCTGCGTGTTGAGCATCTATTCAACATGCCCTTTGAACGATGGCCCAGGAGGATCTAAATATTTATTATAATTGCTTTAATTCGTAAGTTACACTGAGCCATTGAAGTGACACTCCAGAGAGCTCATAGATAAGCCACAGAGGAGTAAGGAATTAGTTGGTATGGGCTTGACTGAGATCCTTCAACTCAGCCCAGAGTAAGGGTTGGCACGTAACAGTTCCACCTGCAAGGGGCGCTTTCTGCTGTCCCCTTGCTTGGAGCGGGGAGGGCAGGGGAGTTAGCTATTCCCCTGCTGTGCTGGCGGGAGGGAATGCACCCAGCCAGCTGCTCTAGTGGGCAGTTGGGGGTATGGAGCCAAGGTTCCTCCATCTTCATCTCCTCTCTGCCACTTGATCATGGGGGAGGGGTGCACACTGGGTTAGCTGCCCTCATGTGCCAAGTAAAGGCTAGTCCAGTGGATTTCAAACTTTTGGGATTGGTGACCCTTTCCCCACAGCAAGCCTCTGAGTGTGACCCCCCTCATAAATTAAAAATGAGGGGGGTTAATTTAATTTAACGAGGGCTCGGAGCTGTCAGCCTCACAGAGCTGATGGCTCGTGACCCCCATGTACCCACCTTGTGACTCTGAGGGGTCATGACCCCCAGTTTGAGAACTCCTGGGCTAGTGACTCTCTAGCCCTAGAGAGAGAGCAGTTAGATCCCTTCCTGGGAGAACGTCTGTGCCGTGTATGTTGGAACCATATGTGATGAAGTGGGGGATTTTCTTATCTTTTCATGGTTTGCATGCAGAGGGGGTGGGACTCAGTGCCCCTGGGTGTTACTGGTTTAACAAGGGAGGGGAGAGGGAGTTTGTTGTTGCAGAGGACTGGAGAGGGAACTTGGGGCCCCAGCCAATGGCCTGGAGAAGGGACACCCCAGCGACTGGTGACCTGACGACCCTCACCGGAGGCCCAGCTCAGGAGTCGCAGACAGTTCTGGCCAGTGGGAGGACAATGGGCTGCGAAGAGAGGACCCCATGACCTAACCAGCCAGTTCCAGCCAGAGGGGGGGTGGAGAGGAGGCCCAGAGGACCTTGTTTACCTGGAGAGAAGGCAATGGACAGAGGCGGGGCCTGGGGCCGGGGATCTCAGATGCCCAGCTGGGAGCAGGGTGGCTCTGGGCTGGAGAGGGGGAGCAGGCAGAGCCCACCTGGAGGCAGAGAGACTGGGATGTGCTGTGCTGAGGGAGGCCAGGCCTGAGGATCAGAGGGTTTCCTGTGCTGTGTTCAGTTACTCAATAGACCCTCCTGTTTTACGCTGGCTGAGAGTCACTCCGGGCTAGAGAACAGGGTTGCATCAACCCCTTCGGGGGTGGAGGCCCTGGGGGGTCCAGAGCGAGTGGACTCCCTGAGGGGGCCCACAGCAGAGACAGACGTGCTAAGGCTCAGAGAGGTGCAGTTCCAGGAGGTGGAGAGGCCTGACCCTGAGAGAGAGTGGACCCCTGAGAAGGGCTGTCTCACTGAAAGGGGCACCCCCCATGGACCGCACAGGGCCAAGAGTTGGCACGATCTGTGAGTCTGTGACACCATATAGAAAATTCCCTCATATGGCCAGCTAGAAAATATCAACTGCTGTCCTGTTCTAGGGGCCTAGGTTTTACTGTGATGACTTCAGAACGGCGTGGGATGGGCTGAGATACTGGCCCAAACGAGTGTCATTTGTAATCTTCAAGTTTAATGTTGGTATTTTTAGAAACAGCAGCCCCCAGGATGAAGCTCTGGACAGCCAAAGGCAAGGCAATGTCAATTGAAGGTGCTACCTGAAGAACCAAAGGGGGAAACTACCTGAAGCCAATGCATGTTCAGCTCACGTGGCAAATCCCACCTGCTTGCCTTCTGCTTTGCTCAATGTCTGAAGACAAGGAATTACAATAAAAAAATAAACCATACAGTGAGCAAATGCTGCTGACCCTGGGGAGAACCGAGTCCACGATGGACATCTCCTCAAATCTTGAAGGAATGTCTGTGTGGAGCGCCTACCTCTGTATCTAGTCTGCCATCTTCTTTCAGAGGTCCAGTCGCTACATCACAATCATTCCATTCCAACACTGAATTGACCTTCCTTCCTGCCGGTCCCTCTCTGCTACCTCCCTTCTCTGTCATTAGTGGTAATTCCACCCTCCTTCCCCCTCCCAGCTTCATGGCCTTGGTGTAATCTTCATCTCTTTTTTCTACTTCTCCTCCCTTCACCCCCATATGCAGTCTCTAGGCCACATCCTGTCAGTTCTTCCCCTTTATTATAACCAGATACACCATTTCCTCTATCCCCCCTGCTTCCCCTGGTCCATGATCTCACCCAGATCACTGCTACCTTCTCTTCTCACCTCTCCTCCTTCAGTCTATTCAAAACATCCCTGTGCTTCACTCACCTTTATCGCCCACTGCGCTGACCACATCACCTCTATCCCTTTAAGTCTTTTAATTGGCTTTTTGTCCCTTACCACAGTAGTTCTTAACCAAGGGTACATGCACCCCTACGGGTATGCAGAGCTCTTCCAGGGGGTAATCAACTCATCTAGATATTTGCCTAGTTTTACAACAGGCAACATAAAAAGCCCTAGTGATGTCAGTAGAAACTAAAATTTCATACAGTGACTTGTTTATATTGCTTTATATACTACACACTGAAATGCAAGTACCCAATATTTATATTCCAATTGATTTATCTTTAGAATTATATGGTAAAAATGAGGAAGTAAGCACTTTTCCAGTAACAGTGTGGCTGTGACACTTTTGTATTTTTATGTGAGATTTTGTAAGCAAGTAGTTTTTAAGTGAGGTGACGTTTGGGGTACACAAGAGAAATCAGCCTCCTGCAAGGGGTACAGTGGTCTGGAAAGGTTGCGAGCCACTGCCTTACCACATGAAGTTCCCTCCCCTTCAGAGCCTTACCTAGTCTTGCCCCCCCACTTACATCTCTGATCTCAAGTCCTCCTGTTCTGTTCTCTCCTTACTCCTCCACTCATCTGCTTTTCACTTTCAGCTTCATCTTTGACCACGGCGTCCCTGGTGCTTGGAACAATCTCCAGTTTCCTGCTGCCAGCAACTCATCTTTCCTTCCTCACCTCCCCCACTTACAATCCAGAATCTTTCCTTTCTTGTTCACCCATCATTTAGCCTCAATTTCCCTTCCCTCATTTGCTGGCCTATGATGGCTTGGCTCTGCTAGGTTACAAAGACAGAACAGAAACACTCCCTGCATTGAACAATTTACAAAGTGCTGTGTAAATTCTAGAGCGTTATAAGTAGCCTGTAATGATTTCTGATAACTGTTTACACTTACGACCTAACTTTGCCAAATGTAGCCTGTCACCCCTTTTTAATGAGTTTTAACTATATAAAAAGTTTGGATGATTAGTGAATGCAAGCTGTGTTACCTAGAAGAGCCCAAAAAGTCACAAAATTATTTAAAACACTTAATAAAAAGCCTATTTTCAATCATTATTACCCATATTAATAGAATTAATAAATAATAAATAAAAAAATTCTCACAAAATGCATCTTGTACTGGGAATACACGGAGAGGATACCCTGCTTTGTTACGTGTGAACACAGAGATTTAAATCAATGCAACCTTAACTATGGAGCTGCTATGATACTTTCAGAATTAAATGCCTCCCAGTAATGCTGGATCAGTGGGTAGCATGAAATCTGACTCTGTATTTGGCAAGTACCTATTGTAGCAGAGAAGATAACAATCCCCAAGACATTCATTTCATTGCTGGTCCCAGGCAGGGTCCGGTAGGTCATTTCCGGAGACGGGGTGATCTCAAGAAGCATAGGCCTTTGGATTTCGGGATTTTCATCGTCAGGTGCAAAGTAAATGAAGCTGAGAGGTTTCCCTGGGATCTTTGGAAAGCCTGAAGATTTCACCACTGGGATGAGAACTGTTCGATACTGCAACAATTAAATGAAATTAAAAGCTAATGGCCTACTAGCAAAGGACTGGCTTGTGCTCACTCCCATTGACTGGGGCCAGTTCAAGCCCAAAATCTGCAAGGGGGAAGCTTGTTCTGCAAGAGGGAGAGTGATATCAAGATCAGCTGGTACTACCACTGAAAATAAGAGACCAGCTGTGACCTAAACAAGAAACCAGACTGGGGAAGTGTGTTTGTTCCCTTCAGATCACAGCCCAAGCATCCCTGGATGCAGTGTACAGGATGCACGTGAAGGTACATGCACGGCTCACTTACCTGCATGATAGGCAGGGTAACATACGTTCTGTTTTGGCTGGGACAGTCCATTTTAAGCCCTGTCCCTGGTGTCCCAATTTTATTTTATTTTTTGGCAAAACTGGGCATTTGTCCCATTTGCTCTTGCCAACTGATCGTCAGCGAAAGCAAATGGGACAAATGCCCAGTTTTGGAAAAAAAATGGAGCATGCCCCCTAGTGGGGTATGGAGGAACGTTCGGGGGGAGTGAGTGGCAGTGCCAGCCTCACCCAGAGGGGCCCAGGCCAGCCCTACGTGTGGGGGACATCCCCTAAGGCTCAAGCCAGCTCTGCACGGGGAGGGGGCGCTCAGATGAGCAGCTCAGGCTGTGCTGACAACTGCCCCCAGCTAGGAGGGGTTGGCCTTGCTTTGCAATCACCAGTCCTGCCTTTCCTGTGTCTCCCTCGCATTTCTCTCTCTTGCCTTTTTGCTTCACTCGCTTTTTTCCTTTCCTCTCTCGTTGACCTTGTGATCTTTTCCCCTGACTTTTTCAGTCTATTTCTTGCTCTATCCCACTTTTCTTGGTTGTGGAACAGTTGTTCTCTTTTCCTTCTCTCTTCCTCTTCAGGTTTTTCCCCCTTTCGTGTTCCACATTCCAATGGCCCTGGGCTCTCCCCACCTTCACCGTCTCTCACATGCGTTCTTCTGCCTCATACCCCCAAAACCAGGCTCTTCCCTCCACCCCCCGATTACTGCCTCCCTGGGAAGATCCAGCAAACACAAACCACAGGTGCACATTCACCTGGAATAGGCTGGTACCTGATGCTGGCTCCCTCTACCCAATCCACGGGGTCCTTGTTACACAGCCTCCACCCTGCAAAATCCACACGTGCCATTCTGCCTTCCCTCCCCCTCCCAGACTCTCTCCCCTCGCCCTCCCCACCACACATGCAGCCTCCTTCCCCTAGGCCTCCCCCTGCACCCACACAGTGGCTCATTCTCCCTCCCCCCTCCAGTCCCCATCCATTCTCCCTCTCAGGCCTTCTCACCCTTCTCCCCAGGCTCTCTTCCCCACATCCTGGCTCTCCACGCTCCACCCCACAGGCCGGCTCCTCCTCCCAGCTTCCTGCCCCTCTCTACCTCCTGGTGATTCCCCACCCCCACGGCCAAGGCGGATGTACAGTACAGCAGAAGTACCCAATATTTATATTCCAATTGATTTATCTTTAGAATTATATGGTAAAAATAGAGGAAGTCAGCACTTTTCCTAGTAACAGTGTGGCTGTGACACTTTTGTTATTTTTATTG